TTTTCTTTCCATTGCTGTTTTTCGAATAGTTTAAGATGATTAAGCGGCTATTTATTCACTAGTGTCTTTTACCATTAATTAGGCCGATTCCGGGATTATTTAAATTTTTATTTCGTTTCTTGTTTTGATATTCTAGACTGACTTAAAACGAAATATCTTTATTATAACCTTGTAGTTTATCATGTGCCATTTTATTAGCTCGTCTCTCCACTCTATAGACATTTAAGTCCTTTCCTTCATTCAACCTAGCTGTTAACTGCGAAGTACGAAGAGTAATTACACTGGTTTCAGAAGCTGATTTATACAAAAACGTCTGTCTACTTACTGTGGACAACTATCACCTATATGTGGAGCCTAACAAGTTCATGAACGAGTTGCATATTTTAACCTTCATCATCAAGATGAATGATTAAATTGGATAATACAGAAATTAATAGATAATATCATAAACCACTCGTTCAAATTGCGGGAAAGCTTTAAGTAGGTACATTTTGTTTTATTCAGGCTTTTTTGTCTACGGGGATAAGTGTTAAGATACTTAATATGATTCTATATATTCTCTCAATGCTATTGCTTTTTTGAGCCCAACTTTTATAACTCACTTTTATATATATGTATATATAATATATAATGTATCTCTGTAAAAAAATACTTTTGCCATTATCTGTTTTATTTAAATCTAAACAAGAGACAATATCATGTTTCAACATCCTTTGTCTTAGTTTTGACCATTATTTCCCTCGCCTCATTCCTGTAGCTTGGCGATCCGCCTCCTCTAGAGTCGGCTGGGCCCCATTTATGTGCCACTTTATCTCGCTTGAAGAGCATCGATTTAACCAGCACAGACTTCTCAAATTGGTCAAGCCTTTTGGCTTTGTTGAGCAAATCATCACTTTTGGCCAGCTTGATGCTAGCACGAAACCGAATATCGAAACTCTATCTGCCCTCAACGGGTACAAACAACTTCGAAGCTAGTCAGTTACTCCCAAGCCTCCACTCCATAGGACTGGCTGCAAACTCTTTCGAGGACTGGCACATGGCCGATCAACTAGCCCGATTTCCTAGCCTTAGAGAAGTCACGCTATCTGAATGCCCCGTGATGCTAAAATCATCTAAGTTAGTCAGACTTTTAATATTTTCATAGAGGTATACATGACTAGTCGAGAAAGCGCAGTTTCAATTTCTTATTCATTCTTATTCTACTTTGTATTTAAAATGTGTTTACTGCTATATGGACTTCATTTTCGACCTTGTCTAGATTCCTCAGTATTCTTATTCATTTTTTTTTCCAAATTGTGTTATTCTCAATGCAAAGACAATGCGGCTATGCTTTTTCCTTAACACACTTTGAGGTTCGTCTTTAAGTTTGATAATTTTTGAGGGATTCTAATGTTCGGCAACTTGTAACTTCCATGGGTTTATCCCAAAATGTGTAAGATGAGCATGCTCCAAATTTGTGATGTCATCAAATGCTTATCATTATTCACGATTATACAGAAAATAATCTCATTAAGACCAATTTTAAACAAAATTGGAAGCATATAAAAGGCGATCCGCATTTTGAATGAGATATTTATTAGTGAAGCAGAACACGTATGAAATAGCGTCACTTCAATGTATTAGATTGGATTTTCTTTTAACTTGCAAAATTCTGACACCATACATTTAAAATAGTAATTTAGCCCTCTTTTAGAAAGACCCTTTCCCATCTTTCGGCATTATCATTGTGGATAATTACTACTATTTGATTTTTTAAGGTAATATTTTACTGGTTATATGGAAAACCTTTTTTTATGTAATTTATTTTATTACTTTGAAGGCCATTTTCACTACTTTTTAAAGTCTGGGATAGGGGATTCGTCGGTAAACTTCGTCAACGATTAAGTGGCCTTGAGTGAGCCACAAATCTTTTGGAATTCTCCTTTGTTCCTATTAAGGCCTTTCTTATATTTAATTTGTCACATAAGACCGGACAAAACATAGGAGCGGAAATTACTTCCCAAAAGAGATCTAGAAAGATTATTGCCTGATAATCAAAAGGCTGGTAAATATACTATAGTGGAAACATTTTATTGTAGCTCTTTTTTTTTTTTGTGTTTATCCACATTTGTGGCCATGTTCTGGGCCTATTTCCTATTTTCTGGAAATTGATACCATCTGGTGTTTACCCAATTTATTTTATCTATTTGATTGCAAAAATATTTCCTCCTAATTGATGTATTAGAAGAGATTAGCTGTTGCATTAATTTAAACTGATACGGATAGTCACCGGGTCTTTAAACTTGATAATAAAAATATATGAATACAAATCAGCCTATTTATCTATCTACATATTTAAAAATTAAAATTTTTAATAGAAGGTATGAAGACCAAGATGGTGTGGCCTTTTGTGTGGTCGCAGTCTCCTTTCTTGTATAGAGGTTGTTTGACCTGGCTTTCGCAACTTGGTCATATTGGTTGGAAAACTTAGAGAAAAGCACCTTGTACGGAGTCCATAGTATGCATGATGATTTCCAGAGTCGGACGTAGTACATTCCCAGACGTTTCGCTGGCATCGTCAGTGAGCCTTGTCAGTCAGCACCACACTACAACTCGTCAAAGAAACAAATGAAGTCGATCCTTTGACCAATTGTCTGCTAGACAGCCGTGGTATCTCTGCTTTGATTATGTTAAATCCTGAACCACAACATTTGTGGGTTGACACACAAGAGACTAGGGCATAGGAAATTATAGACTTGGTATTATGGATAGAAACAGGACAGGCGTGGTGGATGCTAGAACTAGTTGGCTGACAGTAGGCCTGTTTTATCATTGACGTGGTCAATGAAGCAAAAGCTTGACCATGACAATTACTCAAGGGCTTTACCTAAAGTTAGTCTTTAAGACGCAGGGTGTGGGAAATAATACTTCGAGTAGCACAGATGGAGTGGCAGGGGCCGAATGAAATACTTGAACCAGAGAGATAGCAGACGGATCCTACGGGGCAAGAGGGAGACTGATAAAACCTAGGGAAGGAGGATGGCGTAACAATATGGCAGATATTTCCACCGCAAGGGCAAAGGCAGATGATAAAGCCAGCATCGAGTGTGGAGAATTATCATGAAAGCCGCCCAAAAAGGCCCACCATACCACATTTTAATAAGCAAGTAAAATTGTGATAATGAAGGCGTGATACGAGGATATAGGATCGGTAATTAGCCCAGGGGGAAAGAGGAGATACCATGATTTTTTAGCAGACAATTGCTCAAAGGATCGGCTTCATTTGTCTCTTTCACTAGTTGTAGTGTGGTGCTAAAACTGGCAAGGCTCACTGACGATGCCGGCGAAACGTCTGGCAGTGTACTACGTTCACGGTCCGACTCTGGAAATGATCATGCAGACAATGGACTCCGGACTAGGTGCGTTCCCCTAAGTCTTCCTACCACTATGAACATGTTGCGAAAACGAGTTTAAACAACCTCTAAACAACGAAAGAAGACTGCGACCACACAAAAGGTCACACCATCTTGGTCTTCATACCTCGATTTAAAAAAAGCTGCTGGTGCTTATTAAACCTTGATGACTGAGAATGGACGTTACTCTCTGTTCTAATTACTTTAAGATATGACTGTTGGTTTCCTCTATCTATGAGCACATCAAGGCACATAAACGGAAAGACACTCACATGCTTCGAGGTTGACATATGACTTAAAATAAGCAAATCACTTTACACAGCATTTAAGTATGAGCGGGTGCGCTTTCTTGATTCGTTAGCCAGAATATCGTTTCAAGGATGCTACTCTACTCAGATGTCCGTCATATGACAAACGAAAGTTTACTTCGGAGACAGTGTCAATAAGAATGTTCTAGTATAGTCAATCCACGCCTGGCTAAGAGGAATCCGTTATATTCTGATGACATCGGACTTCAACTCTCTTCACAATAAACTTTCACTCGAAACGGAAGTGAGTTTAACACACATCTATTTGTCATTTTATCTATATCTGGTTTTATTTAAAGCATAAGTGCCATCAACGACTACATCTCTATTGAATTTGTATAAAGGAACAACTGTCCTGCCATACAAATTATATTTGGCATATAGCTCATTGGGACTAAAACTATGCTCACTTATTATTATGAGTTATGCATACTTAAGTTTAAGAATGTCGATAGAATATTTATTTGCCCATTGTCATAAAAGAAATAGCCTAGACTTTTATTTCACTATTTTCATTATGGCCTTTCTCTTTATTTTCTCAGTTTTGATTTTCGCTCGCTAAGAGGCTACCTTTTACTTAAAATGTTGGAACATTACGGCATGAAAACAATTCAGATGACGACATGTAGCAGCAATGCTTATTTATTTTTTGTGCCTGAGCATCTTTCATGTGATTCTATGGTTCTAGTTTTTGGCTACATTCATCTTTCTATCTTAAAGTGAAACAGCGCGTCAAGAGCTAATTGCTCGTATGCCGATGGTAACAGTGCTCAACCGGCTTGAGGTCATGGCCGATGAAAAGCGCGGCGCCGAACTGGATTATCTTAAACGATATGGCACTCAGTGGCGAGCCGCAGGAGGTGATATCGATTCCGATACTGGAGCCTTCTGTGCAGGCAATTCTGCGTTCAATCAGCTTCATCCGGCTTATGCTCGTCTCTGTGCTAAATACGGCCCACCAGAAGTTGGAGAGTGCAAGGTCTGCACCAAATTCTCGCAGAATCCAAACTTTTTACCCATCTTAATTATATCCCTGTCTGATATACTTACTATAAAGAACAATGAGCTGGTCATGATAGAACTTAGTATATATGCGTTTCCAAGATTTCAGTTCAGAATTTGGATGGAAGAGATTTGCAAAATGGCCTCATTATAAACCGCAGGATTGCCTTAGATTTTGGCGTATAATTCTTCAGTACATCATCCTAAAACCCTCATCCATCCTTCTAGATCCTTTATATCTTATTGGATAGACCTCGTTGCAGAATATAGTTCTTCTTTACCTAAGCTCAGCAAACGCCAGATCAAGGATTGTAGCTGGTTACGTTCCTACCTAATTCTCACAACCTTACGTTACCATGGTGCATGCCATCTGCATTGAAATCATATTATCCTTGGTCCTCACTTTCACTTTTGATCTCGCTCTTCATAATAATCCCTATGGAAGGGAGAACGTACTCAGTCAGAGATGACTCTGTAAGAGAACGGCGAAAGGAGTTCTGTGATGTGGTATGTGGATGTAGACCTTTGGTTAGTATTGAAAAACTAAATCGGATTTTGATTAGGAGAGCGACGTTTCAAAAGTTTGATGGTAGGTACAGGCTCCGGGAGGCTTGAGTCTGTGAAGGAAGTCTGAAACTTTGCAGCTCTATGCCACATCTGCGATAGACGAAGTCTGGTCTAGTGCTTTTTGGTGATTTCTCTTAAATACTGGTTATTGGTTCTGACAATGTCCGTCACGTGACGGACGAAAACTTAGTACATAGTTATCGAGGTCTCAGGACGGTGATCCGAGGTCTTCTTCGCACAATCCTAAGGCAACCCTCAATCAATATCCGGTCCGGTCAATTTACAATCCCTTCCACCCGCCTTTTAAAACGAAATGAAAAGTATGCCAGTATCTATCTACTTAGATAATTTTGAAACCCGGCTTTTCATATCTGGTATAAGGTTTATCGTGTGAGATGTTAAATTCGCTCTGTCTTGGCTTTGACATTGGATTTCACTTGGCTATATCTCTCAAATTGTTCATAATCTAGAGTGTATTGTAATTTCGGCCTCGCCTGGGTTGAAGCTATCGGGCCCCTAAAGTGTTTCGAAACATGGTTGTGTGCTTAATTTGGCAGCATGTTATCACTCAGCCACAGATGCTAGTGAGTCATTGGGCCGGTGTCACTTTTAATTCTCATCTTATGATCGCATTGCCGATCAATTGTTTAAACTTAGTACGCTAGGTAGAAATAAAACTAGGGAAGATAAATGCTAACCGTATGCATGCTTATCACGAAGTAAGCTATCCTTGGGAAAGTTCATTTGCCT